GTCTTTATTCCAAAGAAAAACAGTCTGAAGGCATATTTGTGAGACACCACACATTTATAGCCTGTTCTCCTGGGGGCGCTGGTCCGGGGGCGGAATCTCACTGCTGTGCTCAGCTCACCCCCACACGCACCCCCACACCCACATGCAACCCTACACCCACAGGCACCCTCACCCCCACACGCACCCCTTTTTCACATACCCCCACCCAGAACACCAACTGCAGGGCTCCCTTCCGAAGAACCAAGTCAAGCTTTTTCACAATGGAAATAGCTTTCTATTTTCCTATGACACCAGTTACACATTCTTAGGTTTAAAATAGCCAAACAGTGCAACAACAACAATAACTATGTAAAGAAGAACATTTAAAAAACACCACCCAGAGACCATTATTAACAATACCCTGCTACCTACACTTGCAAGTGTTTATGTGTGTGTTGATGCAAAAGCAAGACTGAATTATACAAGTAGAATTGTAATCTGCTCTTTTCACTGAAATAAAGGTGGCTATCTCTCCATATAATGAAATAGTTATCTACCTCATAATTGTCATGTAGTCGCTGAGTAATCCTAAGCATCCCTATCACAGCTCTCTCTTTACTTCCTTCAAGTCACAAATTTTTGAAATCCTCGTGCTTTTATTTATCTGTGCATCTATTTGTTGTCTGTCTTCCTCCCGAAAATACAAGCTCCATGGGGGCAGAGATTTCATCTGTCTTTTTACCATTATATCCCTGGCACCACACGCATTGTCAGATACAGTGAAGAGCTATGTTAGCTTTTTACTGCTGCATAACAAAATCACCACAAAATCAGTGGCTTAAAGGAACGCCCATGGATTATCTGACAGTCCTGTTGGTCAGAAGACCAGCCAGGCTCCCCTGGGTTGTCTCCATCGTCTCATAAGCTGAAAGTCAAGGTGTTGGCCAGGTGGACTTGAACCTGGAGGCTCCAGGAAAGCACCCGCCTCCATGCCCATTCAGGTTGTTGGCAGAACTCAGTTCCTTGTGGTGGTGGGACTGAGGTCCTGTTTTCTCCCTGGCTGTGGGCTAGAGGCTGCCCTTGGCTTCTGCAGTACACGCTCCAGTCCTTGCCTCGTGGCTCCCTCCATCTCAGCACAGCAGGTCCCTCCAGGAAAGTCTCTGACTTTGCCTTCTGCTACCAACGAGAGAAATGTCTCTGCTATTACATGGCTCCTGTGATTAAACAGTTTCCCCTTGAACCCCTCCGTGTTTACCAAAGACCCTTCCTCCCAGCATGTTTCTGCAAATCACTACTGAATGGCCAGGAGAAGAAAGCCATAATCGGGCAGGTCACCTCTCTTTTGATTAGACAAGTGATTAGTAGCCTTAATTACGTTTGTCAGGTGGCATGATCCTGGTATGGGACGTTCACAGTCCGGATGCTAGGGAAAGAGCAGGAAGTCTTTGGCCAGGGGGTGATGTGAGGATTCTGCCCACTCTAGGTGCTCTCTGATACGTGGGGAAGGAAGAGGGAATCAGCTCGTTCCGGTCCATGAACTGTGCGAGGCACAGGGGACCCTAACTGAGCGAGGCTGGCCTGCCCTGGCCCTTGTCGAGCCCAGACCAGTGTTGTCAATAGAAATATAATGCAAGCCATGTCTGAGCCACAGAACGACAGCCACATGAACAAGAGTAATAAGAGGTACAATTAATTATAATAATATATTTACTTTGATCCAGTACATCCAAAATGCCATTTTAACAGGAAATTGACACAAAAAATGACTTTCAGACTAAAGCTAAAATTTAATTTGTTGATTTATATTCATTCAAAATCAGTATGAAAAACTAATTTCATATTGAATCTTCAAAACCCTGTGTGATCTTACACTTATAGCACATCTCAATGTGGACTAGCCATGTGCCAAGGGCGGAGTCGCTGCACGTGGCCAGTGGCTGTCATGTTTGGTCAATAAAAACCTGGACAAGTCACCAGAAGGGGACAGTGCAGTATGTGCCAGACTTCCCGAGCGGCATCCTACACTCACGAGGGTCAGGAAAGGCCTCCAGGGAAGACGCGACATCTAAACTGAGATGGACGCAAAAGTAGGAGTGGGTCGGGTCAAGGGTTAGCGTCAATGCATGTCAGACAGAAAGGAAAGATTGTGAGGTGGGAGAAAGGGAAGCGTTAGGCCTGCAGATGCAGGTTCAGCAGAGGTGGGACATGGAGGTGGCGCTGGAGAGAGAGGGGCCAGGTGGCCCTGGCCTGCATGGTTCATATCCACCCTCCATCCTCCATCCCGAGGCAACGGGATTGGAAATGAGGGCGGTAAACCTGGGATGAGGATGAAGTCAGTGCCATTCTGGAAACAGCACCGCTGGCTGCACCAAGGAGAATGCAGAGTTGGGTGCTGCTGAAGAGGATGCGTGGGGACAGGTTGGGCCTGTGTGGCCCTCCAGGTGAGGGAGGTCTGGTCAGAGCTTGCCTCACAATGGGTGGCTGCCCAGCTCACCTCCTTTTAACATTTTTTTAAAGCATATGCATGTTTGTCCCTCAACCAGGGATCATCTGCATGTCCAGCTGCTGGCGACATCACTGGAGCTTTTTCTCTCAAATCCATTCAGGCCTCCTGGCGAACGGGTTGTCTGATTGAAGGAGGGGCAGCGCTGTTGGAGACTCCTCTTTTCCGCAGCACAAGCCGCACCCCCAAACACTGCACCGCGGTTGCAAGGCACTGTGTCTTGCCTTGTGACCTGTTACCCAGCTGGACATCTTTCTCTCAACTGAATAAATGATTGTTCTTTGCTACTTTGTCTTGGAAAAACATCAAGGACATCGGACATTCACTGTACTTATTTTTCACTCGTTTCCCCGTCGGTTAAATACGACCGGTGCATTTTCGTACTACTTCGGGTTTCTCTTTACCTTTTAATCACCTGTCCTTTTAATGTATTGGTCAGCCTTTTAAAAGGATGATTAAGAAATGCTTAATGCACAAAAGAATTAGAGCTATGCACAGCTCATGGAGCAGAAAGCGTGCTCTGACTTACAATGTTCATACGGAGTTTGCAGAGACTTTATGTGCCAGAATGAGTAATATGATCTGCTCTAGGAACTCCCTAGCTTTCTGGCTCTGCAAAAGTCATTTTTTTTTTTTTTGCTCTGATTCAAGTTTCTTAACCAGAAGGGTTACACCAAACTCCTCAGAGTCTGAATGAGCAGAGTTCATCCAAGCCACATACTTCATTAGCACCGTTTAATGCTGGCTTGGGCTAGCGGCCTACCTGGGCGGACACGGGCATCTTTGGCGAGCTCATTAGTCAGTGTGGCCCGAGAAGCGCCGCGCATCCACCACCAAATCAGACAGCTCAGGCCGCGTATAAAGAATGGCTCACACGTGTGTGAGTGTGTGCGCCTGTTTGATCTTTCCCCGCCCCGCCATATTCCCCAGATAGCTGCACTATTGCCATATGCCCGGAAACTCCCGAAGTATTCAAAGGCCATATGTGAATGATAATGAGGCAGGCACACAAAGCTGAGCATCAGCGGGGAAGAAAGCCATCATCTGAAGGGTCCGTGTGGGATGGTCCTCTCCTCTCCCCCCTGCGCTTCTTCTTCCCCAGCTGCAGTGTATCCCACACTCAGGGCTTCTCCTGGGGACAGTGAGGAAAGTTAAGGTTCTCTGGATCCCTGCTCCGAGGGCATGAGCGGTGCCAATGCATGGTGGCGGGTGGTATTAGGGCTGGGTTTAAGCTTACACACAGGCCTTGAGATGTGGGGATGAAAGCCAACTGTGCCACATTCTGCTCTATTTAAGGAGATGTCAATATGCTTTTTAAGAAATATTTTTTTTTATTGATTTCAGAAAGTAAGGGAAAGGGAGAGACAAAATCATTGATTGGCTGCCTCCTGCACACCTCACACTGAGGATCGATTTCACAACCTGGACATGTACCCTGAGTGGGGATCAAACCGTGACCTCCTGGTCAACACTCAACCACTGAGCCACGACGGCCAGACCCAATATTCTTTTCTAAAATATGTTTTTATTGTGGTAAAATATACATAAAATTTACCATTTTAACCAATTGAAAGTAAGCAATTCAGTAGCATTAAGTACACATGCCGAGTTGTACAACCAACGCTACCATCCCTCTCCAGCACTTCCTTATGACCCCAAACAGAAAACCTATACCCACTCAGCAACAGCCCCTCCTGACCCTCCCCTGGAGCCCCTGGGGCCCTCTCATCTATTTTCTGCATCTGTGACTTTGTCTCTTCCAGATAGTTCATGTAAGTAGAATCATACAGTATCTGTCCTTTGGTGCCGGCTTATTTCACTTAGCATGTCTTCAGGGTTCATCCATGTTATAGCATGTGCCAGAACTTCTTTTCCTCTTAGGGCATATTACCACTTTCTGTGTAGCCATTCACCTGTTGACGGGCACTGGAAGTTGTTTCCACCTTCTGTGAATAATGCTGCTATGAACATTGGTGTATCAGTTCCGGGTCTATCCCTCAATGCGGAATCTCTGAGTCCCGTGTTCTTTTAAATGGTTGCACATGGTTTGTAAGTGACTATTACATTTTCTGGGGTCTTGACCATCTTTAACTCTCTAATCTCTATAAAGTCTCGTTAAAAAAATAACCAAAAAAACCATACTCATTGTAGACAAGTGTAGAGAGAGAAAAAATTGGCACATAATTTGATCACATTGAAATAATCACTGGAACGTTTCCTTTCCGTTTCTTTTTGCACATCAGGAGATATCTGAGACCTCCATGTGACATATATTGAAAGGGGCTCCTTCTCAGATGTGTTTGCAGGACATCATTTAACTTTCTGTTCACTTTATCCTTCCTATATGCTTGCTCCTCATTGCTAACCCCTCTCCTCACCAATCGCAACCAACCCCAACCCTAGAGAGTGGAGGAGGGTGGGTGCAGGGATGGAGGTGGGGAGCCCCAGGCAGGATGGTCTCCAATATCACCGCCATCCCAGCCCCTGGGATGTTAAGTGATGTGCTTTCTCGTTGCAGCTATCAGAAGGGCTGACGAAAGGGAAATCGCAGCTCCGCAGCAATATTCTGATAATCCATTGCCGTGCGGCTCACGCCCCCGCCCATCACCACGTGGAATGCTCATCAGGACTGAAAAGGAGTCTCCCTTCCATTGCTGAGCACAGTTCCGTTCTACCTGATCTGCCCTTCACCATCCCATGTCGTTTCATGTGTTGGAAAGGAAGAATGGGGCAGAGGAGGAAAAGGGTAGATCCTCCTTTTTTTATTTTTCATTTTTTTTTGGTCAGTGGAAGAATGGGGCAGAGGAGGAAAAGGGTAGATCCTCCATTTTTATTTTATTTTTTTGGTCAGGATTTGGGCATTAAAAATGTGACCATCTCTTCTGAATATCAATATTTGATAACATTTTATTTGTTACATCAACATCATTGGATAAATTTCAACTCTGTGGGATTTTAACTGTGGATGCAGCTTCTGTTGGACAACAAGCTTCATCTCCAGCTTTTCTGCCTGTTCAGTCTGAGAGGTCGTTCCGGGTGCATTAGATTATCAAAAAGGATGAGTTCTGTGAGTGAGTGGTGTTGGCAGTGTTTGTATATCAAGATGCATGGAGTGTTTGACAAAGAAACCAAAACACCAAAAACTGGCGAGCCTTTACCCTCCTCTATTTCTTTAATCCGCTGTTCGAAGAACCACATTTTGATGGTGTAACCAGTAGTTACCTCTGGGCCAGGTTGGAAATGAAAATCAATTTTTTAAACCACTAATACTTGCCAAGAAATCGCCTTATGAGAATGTGGTGTGTGTCTCTGACAATGCATGGCACATCTGAATTGGTCATTCATGATCTTATCTGCCCTGTCTCTGTACTGGCGAGTGGCAAAAGCCTGAGGCACCTGCACATTCCTATGCCGTGTTCCCCGCATCCCGTGGCCGGGGTGTGGCCGAGCCTCAGGCTCTTACTATTCCCGTACAGGAGGGTCTCCATGAAGAAGCTGGGACTCATTCACATTTCAAGATCCAAGTGCTGTGCAAACAGTGTAAGCTTAGATCTTCTGTAAATGCAGGGTCATTTCTCAATTTTTCAAAAAAAAAAGTCTCCAACATGGATTCCAAAGCATTTTCAGCATCAAACATGAGAACATTGATGAATGAGAAATAATCACAAAAGCTGTGTATCTGTATATAGCTCTACACAACATGTTTGTGGGTACAGTCATTATTTAAAGCACATGCCAGGGAAAGAGACCAAATTTTGAGGTCTTTTACATACAGTGACATGGTACTAAGGAGAATTAAGCTCCTACTGTTTCCTCTGAAGATAAAAAAAAATAATTAAAGTGTTATAACTTCATGAAACTCATGACCAAGTCTGGCAAACATGTGCAGCTCTTGTATTGATCCATTTTTTTTTTTTGTCAATGGAAGAAACCCTTCCACGTGTATGCAAGTGGAAGATTAAAATCTGCATTTTTAAAGGACAAACAGTGAATTTAAGCATGAGTGGCCTTAATAAATATAGTTGTCTTTCTTTGCTGCTGTGAAAAGGATTCTAAACAGATGTTCCTGAATCTTGCATTGAATTTAGTCGTTATTATTACCTTTTCAAATGTTGGTGCAACTAACTGGACCTCTCCCGTGAGCCATAGAGATATTTCAAAGACAGGCACCCTGTTTGTCGGGAAAGATGAAACTGGGTTGCACTGTTCATTCTCGGTGCATTAGGAGTCATAGATTCAAGCAGGTTTCTTGCTTCTGGCTTCGTCCTTGTAAGTATAGTGAGCTCTGTAAAGCTTCCGTGTTGCATAAACCATCCAAATACATTCATGTTTAAAAAGTCTGTCCTTTATCAAAGGGATGTAGGTCATGATTGGAAAAGTGAGCAGAGTTCTTTGCAAGTGTATTTAGCACGTCACGTGTTCACACAATGTTGCACCGAGAGCCCAGGCCACAAACGTGCCCCCACGAACAGTGCGGATGTCCTCACCCAGGAGGTCCTCACTATCTCTTACAGCCAAGTCCCGACCTGAACTCTGCGACTGAAAACTTGAAGAAGGAAGCAGGAAACCCACGACGGAAAATGGGGTCCTTGAAACAGAAAAAAGCAACCAAATGCGTAGCGTTAGCGCTTTCTAAGTATGTGCCAATTTTGTCACCGCTATTGTTTGGGGGATCATTTTTTGCCCCACTTTTGTTAATTAAAAATATTAGTGATCCTACATTGATGGGGGCATATCATTTAGTCCCTGAACATTTTAATTTTTCTAACATAGCATCCTTTCCCATTTCTTGTAATATTCCTGATGTTTGGGGGTTACAAAAAAAATTTCCCTTTTCACATATTAAAAATAGTCTCTGGGTTTACAACAAACACTGTGATGTTGGGAAGCTCTTTCCTTTGCACGAACTTTAGCGGGTCCCCCTCTAATCCTAATGACGTTGGGAAAAAGAGAAGTTGAGGCTACCATTTGGGAGAAGTTGGTCTTCTTGCTTTGCACAAAAGCAGACTTGTCCTTGATGCCCGATTTGATTTCCATGTACAGTTTCAATTTTGTATCTAATGATTTTTGTGTATCCAGTATGCACGTGAACAGCGTGTCAACTTTCATTTGGAAGTGGGTTTCAATTTACTTTTTAAACAGTGTTTATGACGAGACCTCCAAAGTGTTGACATAAGTTCTATCTGAGAAGTTTTTGTGTCGAGTGGCGTTTGAATGCTGCCAGGGGTCAGTGTATCTGCTTCCCAGAGACCCTCGTTCGATAGTGCTTCTTGTAATATTTCCTCAAGTGAGTGGCATGTGGGTTGTGATATTGACCATGTGATTATGGACTTCGATATGAAATAAATAAACAAATAAAACTAAGGAACCCTCAGAAACTCCCAGTGGGCATGTATTAGCCAGTCATTGTAACCTCGTGTCTAGTAGAAGTACAACGTACAAGGTCTGTACAGTTCATAAATTTGTTACCATGTGTATGAGAAGTACTTTGTGCTGATCGCCTTATTTATATTCATCAAATAAACTTTGTTTCTTTCTGAAGTGAGCTCATTCCATCTCTAATAAATGCTCCAGTTGTGGTGGTTTCTCATTTTCTTGGGTCCCCATTTGAAGAACCTACGGACTTAAAGAAAAATTTTAAAAAAAGGAAAAGGGGAGTTATGAACAGCCAAGGCATGAATTTCCCTTTCATGCATAGCTGGATCTAGAGGTTCTTATTAAAAAATGGAGTCATTGGCGGTATCTCCTGTCTTCCTTCCCTCCCTCTTCCCTTTTTGCCTGTCTCTCTCTCAATGCTTCCCTTTTCACCTCTCTCCCTCTGTCCCTCTCTTTCTTCGTTCCTCCTTTTCTCCCTGTGTCCGCTGCACTTCCCATGGCCACTCTCTGCTAGGTTCTCTTCACTTGGTGGCAAAGTTGACTCCCAACAGCTTTGGATTTTAGAGGAGACCCCCTCTCTCTCCAAAATCCCTATCAGCCCCCTAAAGAAACTCTCACTGGCTCATTTGGATCATGCATCCAATTACCTTATTAAGGGAGTTGGGAGGGTGAGGCCTAGTGATTGACAGGCCTAATGGGTGTGGGAGGGGCAGTTTCCAAAGGGGAAAAATGGGCTGTCTTCTAGAACAGAAGGACAAGAACGCTGGGCAGGCAGAAGCAATAGCTAGCCCTGCCATTACTTGTATTCTCACACAAAATCATGCAGAAAAATACCGAAAATCGTCCACAAAAGGGCTCACCAGCCTTCACAGCCCACCTGTGGATCACAATGGAGAGCCAGCTGCTGAGTTCTTTAAAGGTTGGAATTATGTGGCAGGAAATGGATTACCAATTCTTACCTTCATTGAATCAAAGAGTAATCGATTATCAGAGCTAGAATGTATGTTAGCCTTATTTTACAGGTGGGGCAACTGAGGTCTAGTCAGAAGTGACTGATCCACACATACACGGTAAATTCATTGCCATCCAAGACTGTCCCCAGAGCTCCTGAAGCAGGAATCTGTGTCCCTGGGGATGCCCTGTGGCGGAGAGGATGGGACAGAATTCTCACCGGTTGGCCCTTGACAACACAGGGACAATATCCTTTGGTTTCTGTGCTTTATAGACTCAAAGCCACCAGGTGTGAGATCTCAGGCACATTTTGGAGCGACCCACAAAGCTGTTTGCCCATTTCATTGTATTGCCTCTTTGTAGAAAAACTTTGGTTGGACAAGAATTTCTTACCTCATAGAACTTCCTGAAGCAGCCGCTTGCTCTCAGGCCTGATTCTGTAAACCCAGCTCACCAGATGGGGCCTCTGCCGCCCTGTCCACAACCAGTCCTCCTGGTAAGAAAGGTTCCGGCCCACACTGCTGGGCTCTACTAACCCAGCATCCCGGCAGCCCGGGCCTTTCACTCATTTTGGATCAGCATCCAATCACCTTATTCAAGGGATTTGGGAGGGTGAGGCCTAGTGATTGACAGGCCTAGTGGATGTGGGAGGGGCAGTTTCCAGAGAGGGGAAGTGGGCTGTCTTCTAGAATAGAAGGACAAGGATGCTGGGCGGGCAGAAGCAATAGCTAGTCCCGCCACACAGATTGGATTTGGGTGCACCCGAGGTCTGACCTTGCAAATTGACCTTGGCTGCTCCTAGTATCAATGAACCGCTGTTGCAAAAGACTGGAGAGACATTCTAATTCTTGGAATTGCTAATCCATATGAATAATCCTACTACGAATAAGTACATATGGACAAACATGACTGAAAGTGTGCATTTGCTAGGAGCCAGGCCACGGCACTGAGGAGTAATGTGCATCAGCTCGTTTATTCCCAACAACAGTCCCAGGAGGTGGGCACTGCCACGCTCCACATTTGACAGTGAGGGGAGTGGGGACCGCAGAGATGACCAGCAACAGCGGGTGTTTATAGAGGACGTCCATGGTACACGTTGTGGTAAGTGCTGTGCTTACATGAACTCATTTACCCCCAAAGTAACCCCAGGAGGTAGGAACTATTATTATTCTCACAGACAAGGAAGAGAGGGTCCAGGGAGCTTACATGTCTCACCAAGTCCCCCTAGATCAGTGGTTCTCAACCTGTGGGTCGCCAACCTATGGGTCG